GGAGGTTCCAGCTCTCTAAAGCCTGGTTTTATTTTCTCAGTATTACGATTTATTTTTTTTAATTATTTTTTAAAGTGCCTCTTGCCTGCTGCGCGCGCCCCTCGGCCGCTGGCATCCGGATGAAACAGTTCACGAATGGTTCTCTCTCTAGTCAGAAAAAAGGCAAAGTGCTGGCGTGCGGTCTGGTTTTACTCTAGAAGGTTTCAAACGCTTGGTTTTGCTGTAAGTCACAGCTCGGCTTCCTGCCCGGCCCGTCACGGGCAGCGTTTGATTCCCCGGGCACCTCCGTCCCGTCCCCCGCGCCTGCCGAGAACGCGCGGGGAGGGTCGGCCCGCCAGCCGCTCCCGGCACCGGCTGGCCAAAGGTGTACGAAAATAACGACAAAGGAAACCAAAACAAACGCAGAAATGAAAACCAGCAGTTTTTCAATGATGGCCAGCGACAATTCGGTCAGCTCTGGTGGAAGGATTTGCAGTTTAAGCCCCCAAGCCGTGCGCTGTGGCAGTGTTAGGAGGGTGCTGACACCCCACCTGGTTTTTCCTCTTCTGCCTCAGCAAAACAGCTCACTGTGTGCTCGGATCTGAAGAGTGTGGAGGAGAAAGGCCATGTCTGTCTCAGAATGGTACTAGCAAAGCATTAAGGTGCTCAGATTTTCTTACTGTTTCTTGCTGTATTGACGGTACAATAAGCTGCCACTGTTAGAAATACCTTCAGGTGCACATAGGCGTTGGTGCTGGAAGACTGTGGGTGAACTAAAATGTGCAACGAGGTGATTGATTCCCTTCTGCCCTGGGTTCAGCTGGGACAGAGTTAGTTTTCACAAGAAGCTGGGAGGAGGCACAGCCAGGATAGCTGACCCGGCCTAGCCCAGGGGATGGATATTCACTACCATATGACATTGTGCTCAGTATATAAACTGGGGGAGCTGTCCCAGGGCGTCTGAGGAACAGACTGGGCATGGGGTTCCAGGTGGTTAGCATCACTCACTTCATATATTCTTTTATTAGTATTATTGTTGTTACTTATTTTCTCCTTGTTTTGTCCAATTAAACTGACCTTATTACTGGAGAGGAAGCAAGTGTGGGGTAGACAGACTTGGCTTAAAATCTGTGCTGCAAGCTTTCTTGTAAGTGGTCTGGCCACGTCAGTGTTTAAAATGGGGATAATAATGCTACTGTATTTCACAGAGTTATTATGCTGTTTGGTCCATTCTCTAGCTAATTACAGAGACCATCTAAATGTTCACAGAGGCTTTTGGCAAACTGCCTTTCTCTCCATGGCTTTCACAAGTTGCATGTTAACTGAGGTAATCAACTTGACTGAAGTAGTAAACATTAATATTGCTGTGTATTTTCTTGCAGATCTTGTAAGTACTCGCACAATATCACCAATGCTGAGAACAAAAAAGTTCTGAAGACTCATGAGTTGTCTGGCCTCGATGAGAAGGAGCTGAGAGTCCTGCTTCTCCAAAATGACCCTTTCCTGCTCCCTGATGTGAGTTGTACAGATTTCTTAAGAGAAGCCGTTGTTAATTGGGAATGGGAGAGGGCAAGAGAGAAAGCGGAGGTCTGATCTCAATTTCAAACTGTTAAGATATGTAACAGAAATATTAAGATTAGTCTGAATGAAGTATGGACAGGAATGGCTGTGTGTGAAAGCACCAGAAGCAAACAACGTAGAGCAAGGGTTGTGAAAGGCTGTGTACTTATAACAAAAAACCCAAAACTAAACAAAAAACCAGCAGTAGAATTGTTAAATTCTGAGGAGTGTGTTGCTTATGTAAATACCAGAAGGCATGCACCTGGATAAGGCCATGTCATCGATGACTTGTCAGCAGAAGACCTGCCCTCTGACAGCAGGAAGTAGACAGCAAGGCTACAGCCTGTTTTCTGTGCCATTCCTATTATCCCAACAGGATAGCGTAGAGTTACTCAAAACAAGCAAAGAAAAAAAGTCAGCAGCCTCACCAGGGATTTATAGACAGTGAGTTAAGCAAGACGCAGGTGATAGATCACAATAATTGTACGTGCTTACAGTATAAAAGGCCTGACCAAAACCAGTCTGTTGGCTGTTCTCCAAGAGTTGATAGAGACTAGGAAACGAGGAACCATTTCCTTTTCCAGCCGATGCAGGCCTGCAGATTTTGGTGCTTGAGGATATGGGGAAGCAGAGAAAAATCTATGAGAAAATGACCAGATGACTGCAGTCAGTTTTGTGTAAAATCTGCCCCTTCCAAAGTGCACTGAGTTATCATACATTAATTTTCTCCAAAGCAACCGTTGTCTGGTTTGTATGCAAGTCATTGATTTTGTTAAATTTGGCTGAACAATCCATTCTGGTTCTGCATGTATGTATAAGGGCAGTGCTATCTTCAAGGTATGGCTGTTTCAAAGCCACGAGTATCCTGTTCTGGCTGCAGTTGTTCCTGGTTAAGAAATTACAGAGTACTGCCTGTTACCCTTGACTTTTGGAGGTTATAATCTCCACAGATCTGTTGGCATAACAGTTCTATTGTTTTCTTATTCTCTGAAGACAGTGCTGGGCTTTGACAAAATATGCTTTAGGGGGGGTTTTTTGTGTTTTAAAATATGGTGTGCTGGCAGATTCAAGAAGCATAGTGGTGATGAGCAAGGAGGATTAATAATATCTTTGTCCTGTTTAGCTGCATCTAAAACTTAAGTGTTTCTTGTTTACTTACTCCCAGTAGTGAGCAGATATTGGCAACCATTGTGGATTGGTATTACTCTTAAACTCTTATCTATAGATCTGTTCAGCCCTCGAGGCTGATAGGCATTGGAGCTTAATTTCCTCTAATTGAGCACCTTAATTCCTATTATGGAGTAAAATAGCAGAAACAATGTAAACAAGGAAAAAAAGGTGAGCAAAGCAGGCCATTCATGAACCTGAGAGCTGTGGAGGAGGGGGTGTAAAAGCCAACTTGGCTGTTTCTTGCTTAGAAAAGCTGACTATCAGTGTGTGTGCTGAAAAAAGGTGTGTATGAAGCTCTCAAGCAAAAGGAAACTTTGGTCTTCTGTGACCTGAATGGGGGGAGAGGGTAAGAAAAACACAACAGCACTCTAAAATCAGGGAGTTTTACACTTTCCTGTACTTTCTCTCTGGCTCTCCTTTTTTTTGTTTTTTGGCAAATTGTCCTGGTTTCAACCAGGATAGAGTTAATTTTCTTCCTAGCAGGTGGTATAGTGTTTATGATTTAGTGTGACAAGAGTGTTGATAACACACAGATATTTCAGTTGCTGCTAAGTAATGCTCATACAAAGTCAAGGGCTTCTCAGCTTCCCATGTTCCAATTCAGCTCCCCATCCCACGAGCAAGCGGCTGCATGGTGCTTAGTTGTAACTGGGGTTAAACCACAACAGTCCTTTTTGGTGCCCAACGTGGGGCTCAAATCCGTGACCCTGGGATTAAGAGTTCCATGCTCTACCTACTGAGCCTATCTGGCTGGGTTTGTGTCCCAGCTGGAGGAGAATGGGGGTTGGGGGAGGGGGGTAGGTAGGAAATAAGTAAAACTCATGGGTTGAGATAAAGACAGTTTAATAGAAAAAAAAAAAGGGACAGAATAGTAATGGTAGAATATACAAAGTAAGTGATGTACAGCATAATTGCTCACCCCCTGCTGACTGATGCCCAGCTAGTTCCTGAGCCACAATCCACCCCTGGCTGACTCCTCCCAGTTTATATACCAAACATGATGTCATATGGTATGGAATATCCCTTTGGTCAGTTTGGGCCAGCTGTCCTGGCTATGCTTCTTCCCAGCCTCTTGTACACCTCACCTGGCACAGCATGGGAAGCTGAAAAGTCCTTGACTTAGTATAAGCACCACTTAGTAACAGCTACAATATCAGTGTATTATCAACATTCTTATACTTAATCCAAAACATAGCGCTATACCAGTTGCTAAGAAAAAGAATTCACTCTCTCCTGGCTGAAGCCAGGGCACAAATGGAGGGGTCAGTGTGCTAGCTAAATAGTGGATTCCTTATTTAGCTGTGGCAGTGCATCCTTCTGGTTTAGTAGTTAATTCTAATGCTCCCACATTAAAATTTGGTCTTGCATACTAACATTATCTTTTAATGCATCTCCCTCCAGATGTTCTACAAAATCATCCTCTGGATTCAGTGTCTTTAAATCTCTGGGAGCTTCACTTTGTAACTGTCCTGGGTTTTAGCTGGAACAGAGCTGGGTTTCTTTATAGTAGCTGGAATAGTGCTGGGTTTGCTTTCAGCCTGGGATTTGTTATGAGAGAAACTCTGAAACAAACACACCAGTGTTTGCGTTTTTGTTGCTGGAAGTGAAGGACTCTGTGCTCTGTTAGTCTACACGGGCAAGATCTAAGGGGGTGAGGAATATTTAAGTTAATAAGCTAAATTGCATTTGGATATGCCAGTGGGGTATTCAATATCATATCCCGTCATGTCCAGTATATCAGTGAGGGGCTCTTCCTCTCTTGCTCTCTCTGGCTTTGGCTCAGGCTCTCGCTCTTCTGGGATTGCGGTTTCGGTTGGGGATTGTCGCTCCTCCAGGATCGTTATCTGGGAAGGGACTGGGCTTGGTTGATTGGTGGTACGGAATTGCACTGGATATCACTCATTTGCATCCTTTGTTACTGTTATCATTATCACTACTGTTTTAATATTAGTATTAATATTTAAGTTTTCTTTTATTTCTATTATTAAATTGTTCTGATCTCAACTTACGAGTCTCCTTACCCTTGCCCCCCAATCCTCTTCCCTATCCCCTGGGTTGGGGGGTAGTGAGTCAATGACTGTGTTGGCTGCTAGCCAAGGGCTAGCCCAGTGAAACTCACAGTAACCTAAGTGGCTGATATCTCCACTACCCTAAAGGGATATTTAGTGTAATGGATGCTCCATACAAAATGTTTGTGTTTTTTAGGACTCCCTCAGCTTTCACGTGATTCTATGTTTTAATTGCTTTGTTTTCCTACTCTCTTGAGCAGGAAGATGCAAGCATGAAAGCAGCTCCTGTCCTCTGTCCCCCAAAACCAGTGCCTGACATAAGTCTTATGCTTTTTTTGGTAGTTATTAAACTAGCTTCAGGCTGCATATCAAACTGCTCTCTGCTTCTGGTTTTGACTAGCAGTATTCCTGGAGGAGAAGGTTTCTGGAAAGGACAGGATGTTGAAGTTAAGAGAGTAAGGTTGGGTTGTGGAAAGACCTGTTAGGAAAGCAGTGATTTTAAGTTTTTCTAAAAGCATCCAGAGAACTATATTATTCCTTTGAACCAAGGGACTACTCTGTAAGTCTGTGTTATGGCCTTTAGTTTGTGCTTGATTGTATGACTCTGGTGGGTGTTGGACTAAGTGTGTGTTTCCAGCTCAGTAATTTGAAGAGTTACCTCCACTTGGAAAAGGGATGGGAAAAGCAAACTGCATATTTAAAGCCTTAATGTATTTTTCTTGTTAGGTTAGTACTCAGGTGAGGCACGTACACTTTAGATGGAGGTAGCCCTTTGAGCAGTATCTGTTGTAACCTGACTACCCTGAGGAGTTACGCATCGGTAAAGGTTCAGGCTGTCAAGGACAGATCTGGATTAGATAATACCCAGATTCCACCCTGGCTGCATTACTTTCAGTTGGCTGCCCAACTGTTTAATATGGAGATACATATAATAAAATAGGAAATAATTCAATCAAGCATCTGGATTACCAATATACATATAAAACAATTGCAATTAAGGTGAATGGCAGTGCTGTATGGTCAGGCATCCCTGGCCAGGAGGATGTCACCATACTGGTGAGTTCCATAACTAGTTCTGTCCTAAAATCAGCTTTACCTATGCACAATTACTAACATCTGCAATCCAAAAGCAAACCACAAACCATAGGCAAAGCTCCTTTTTAACTAGATTTCCATTTTTTGTGCAGCAAAGTGCTAGATTTCTGTTTTTGATGGCAAAGTGCTTGATGCAGCACATCATCTGGTCTAGAGCTGCTAAGAGAGGGGGGCTAAGAATAGAGGGAGGAATCAGTCACCACAGTATCAGGCCCCCTAAACAGAGCAATATTCTTCAACTGAGGAAGACCATCCCATGGCAGTGGTATAACATTTGAATTCTTTAGTGACTGAAGTTGCAAAACATCTCCCACAAGAGTGTTTGTCATTATCTAGTACTTGCATATGTTCTTGATACGTAGATCTTAGAGTGTACTGCAGATAAAAGCCTTTCTGTATTCCCCTCAGACAAAGTTGGGGAAACGAAGGAGAGAAAAATGAAGGTATTTCCCCAGATTCTGGAATAGGTGAATAATTGCTTTGCATTGGCAGGTGCTGGTGCTTTGGGATCTCTCTAAGAAAGGCACATGATGCTTAAGATAAATAGCTGGTTACTACTAAAGGTTATAATGTCCCTTCTGACATCATGGAAACCAATGACAATACAGCATCATATAGACCTCTCTGGTAGGGCCAGAGGTCTGTGCTAAATTCCCACCCATGGTGAGGTTCAGCACCCTCGCTGTTTTTCACATCTTTGGGTTTTTTTTTTCAGAAACATACTGTGAACAAAAAAATCCCCAAACTATTGGTCTTCTGCCCACATACAACCGAATGGTTCTTAACAACACAACCTCTATGTGCTGTTTGTAAAGGCAGTCCATGCTAACGGCATGGAACGTGCTCTCGTTATGTGGCTGTCACTAATTATAACATATGGGCCTCTGCAACCAAGGCCTACAAGTAAACTGCCTAGATTTGCTAGAAGTCACTGTCTCCTCATCGTAATGTCTCTCACAGTGGCCTGCTACATTAGCTGAAAATAGGTCCAAAATTAATTTTCCAGAATTTATTTTCCCAGTACAAGGGAGTGATGGAGCTACTGGAAGAGGCGTTCAGTGAAGTGCCACTAAGATGGTGAAGGGACCGGAGCATCTCTCACATGAGGACAGGCTGAGAGAACTGGGTCTGTTTAGCCTGGAGAGGTGAAGATTCAG